ATCTTCCATCTGCTGGTCCACTCAGGTACCTGCAAGCCGTCAGGGCTGGGCCAGGTCAAAGCCAGGAACATAGAATTCTATCTGAGTTTCCCACACGGGTGACAGTGCCCCAAGTCCTTGAGCCTTAATCTGTTGCTTCTCAGCATTAGCAGGAAGCTGGATCAGAAGCAGAAGCAGAGGCAGGACTTGATACCAGGCACTCCAATATGGGATGTCAATGTCCCAAGTGGCAGCTTAACCCACTGTGCCACAATGCCTGCCCCAGCATATCATTTTAATTTTCAATCTTTGGGGAGCCTTTAGAGAAGTATACCAGAATTAGGAAAGATTATTAAACCTTCTTTTTTATTTTTTATTTTTATTTATTTATTTTTTGCCAGGCAGAGTTAGACAGTGAGAGAGAGAGACAGAGTTATAGACAGTGAGAGAGAGAAAGAGAGAAAGGTCTTCCTTCTGTTGGTTCACTCCCCTAATGGCTGCTATGGCCTGCGCCACTCCAAAGCCAGGAGCTGAGTACTTCCTCCCTGTCTCCCATGTGGATGCAGGGACCCAAGCACTTGGGCCATCTTCCACTGCCTTTCTGGGCCACAGCAGAGAGCTGGACTGGAAGAGGAGCAACCAGAACTAGTACTCGTCACCCCAACTGGGACTGGGACCTGGGGTGCCAGCGCCACAGGCGGAAGATTAGCCAAGTGAGCCACAGCGCCAGTCTAAACCTTCTTTTATACTCTAAAATAAATGTATAAATATTACAGAAATATTATACATAATTTGAAATATACCTGATTTTATGGATTTTTGAGCACAGAATGAAGTAATAACTTTTTTTCATATTACTTGAAATCTCTAATTTGGGGTCATTTTAGTGGGGGGATCTCCTTCCTGTATCTATGATGAAGCTTTGTGGTTTCATGTATCTTTGTGGCTTAGCATAGATGTACAAACTATAGGAAAGTGAGTAAACGTAAGCTCTCAAAAACTACAAGCTTGGAGAATTTCCATTATGAGAGGGACTCCTAGGGTCTGAGAATGAGGGGAAGGGGAAGGCTTAGATATTAGTGACAGAAAGTAAAGTTAGCAAGGGATGAACTTGGGCCCTAAATTAGAATCATCTTTGCTGTAAGTTCCAACCAAATTGTTTGTGTTCCCCATGAAAACATAACTGATTTTGTACTGAAAAAGCAAGTGAGGAAACAGGAATTATTTTACAGAGTAACTTTAAGTCTAATTTTACTGGTTGGTTACATTCTGTCAAGAGAGAAGAGAGATTTTTGCAAATAATACATACAACCTCCCCCACCTCGCAATGCACACACCTTTGTGAGAATCATCTGCTGCAGTGAGTCACAGCTACCGATAGCAGAAGTTTATATCCCTTAGGTGAATTGGGGTAAAAATAAATCCAACGTTCTTTTTTCCCATAGGATTGCTAAGTTATATTTACCTTCTGAAATAAAATGAATCACTGGAAATCTCACTTAACTTTAATCAACATTAAATAACTCTATTGGAGTATTTTAAAAGAAGGTGTAGGTTCAGACAACTTATAAAAGTGAAAAACTTGCAAGTGACAATTACATTTTTTTGATGGAATCACAATGTTCTTATACAATGTTCTTTTTCATTTTTTTTTAACTTCTCTGGCATTTATTGTAAGGAACAAAGCATTTCTGGAATGCTCATTTTAATTTCAAAGCCCAGGCTATTCTATGGGAAACATTTGGTGCATGGAGGATCCGAACAATAGAGGAGGAATGTGCAGTGGGAAGCGTCATGAATCGTGGTACTTAAAATACATTCTGAAGGAATATTTCAGACAATGATACTTATTCTTCACTTTAAACAAAGGTTTTAAACAAAGTAGTTGTTATAATTTGTCTTAATCTGGACAGATATCTTTTAACTCTAAATAAGTTAGACAGACAATATCTTGCTTGCCTTTTGGAGTTTGTGAAAGCCTGTGTACTAAGTCAGGCTTATTATTATTTTTATGTAATCCATGATGAAGACACACAACCCTATTTAGTGGCTTGTGAAGCACATAGAATGGGCATTTATAAGTGTCTTTTTCACATGTAGTATCAGCCCTGAGGGGAGAGGAGTCTCAAGAGCAAGGTAAGGTTAAGTCCAGAGAGAACATCTTTTAACAAGGGTTTCCATAGCCAATTTTTTTTTGTATCCATGTAGGGAACACACTAGAAAATGCACATTAAATGCCAAACAGTATTTGAGTCACTTTATGAATTTTATGGAAGACTTTACCTTATTTAACCTTCATGTAGTTTTATAGGATAATATGATTGCTCTTATTTTCTTTTTTAAAAATATTTTATTTATTTATTTGAGAGGCAGAGTTACAGACAGACAGAGGGAGAGACAGAGAGAAAGGTCTTCCATCCACTGGTTCACTCCCCAAGTGGCTGCAGTGGCATGCAGGTGCAGGGGCCCAAGCTTTTGGGCCATCTTCTGTTGCTTTCCCAGGCCATAGCAGAGAGTTGGATAGGAAGAGGAGCAGCTGGGACACAAACCGGTGCTCATATGGGATGGTGGTGCCACAGGGAGTGGCTTAGCCTACTACACCACAGCACTGGCTCCTGTTCTTATTATCTAAGAGAGGAAAATAGAAGCTTTCCATAAGATATTTCACTGAGTCATGAACACTGGAATAAAGCAAATTTTAGAATAAAAAAGTCTGTTGGATAAGTGAAGGAGAAGGGCAGACAAATGATTTTCATCCATATATTACCTTTGTAACTTATGAATTCTTTTTCAATTCCTAGCTACATTCTGGGTACTGATATCCGTGCACATAATATCTAAAGCTCCATGAACAACCAATGAGCAAAATCTCTATCTGCTGCAGAGCAGGAAGGGTTATGTTTTGTCTGTTGTCAAAGATGTGCTGCATGATTATCATAAGTTTTGACTATGTGATGACATGCAGGAGCCGGTCTTTCCTTCATTTTTAAAGATTTACATATATATATTTAAAGATTTATTTATATATTTGAAAGGCAGAGTTACAGAGAGGCAGAGGCAGAGAGAGAGAGAGGGAAGGAGGGGGAGAGGAAGAGAGGTCGGTCTTCCATCCGCTAATTGACTCCCCAGATGGTGGCAGTGGCCGCAACTATGCCCATTTGAAGCCAGGAGCCAGGAGCTTCTTGAGGGTCTCCCGAGCAGGTACAGGGGCCCAAGGACTTAGACCATTCTCTGCTGCTTTCCCAGGCCATAGCAGAGAGCTGGATTGGAAGTGGAGCAGCCAGGACTTGAACCGGTGCCCACATGGGATGCCAGCGCTGCAGACCATGGGCCTTAACCCGCTTCACCACAGCGCTGGCTCCTACTTATATATATATTTTTAAAGATTATTTGTTTATTTGAAAGGCAGAGTGACAGAGAGGCAGAGGCAACAGATGATGACTAAAATGCTTAGGTCCCTATTACTCCTGTGGGAGACCCAGATGGAGTGCCAGTCTCCTGGTTTTGGCCTTTTGCAGGCATTTGGGGAGTGAACCAGTATATGAAAGATCTCTCTTTTCTCTTTCCTTCTCTGTCACTCTGCCTTTCAAATAAATAAATAAATACATAAATATTTATAAACATCGTGTGTGTTTATGGTGTACACCATGATGTTATGATACATCTTTACATTATAAGCTAATTAACACATCTGTCACCTCATATACTTGTAATTGTTTGTATCTAGGAATATGTTATTATAAATAAATTTGCAAAAGGTAATATGCTAATTACTAACATTAAGGTAGTTGAAAATATAAGGTTCTTCTCAACTCTCCCTTTAATCAATCCATGTATATAATAAATACTTTTTTAAAAGATTTATTTAATTTTATTTGAAAGAGAGAGTTATAGAGAGGCAAAGACAGAGAGAGAGAGAGGGGTCTTCCATCTGCTGGTTCACTCTCCAGATGGCCACAATGGCCTGAACTGGGCCCATCGAAAGTCAGGAGCCAAGAGCTTCTTCTGAGTCTCCCACGTGGGTGCAGGGACTCAAGGACTTGGGACATCTTCCACTGCTTTCCAAGGCCATTGCAGAGAGCTGGATTAGATGTGGAGCAGCTGGGACTCAAACCTGTGCCCACATGGGATGTGGGTACTGCAGGTAGCAGCTTTACCTGCTATGCCACAGCATTGGCCCCAATATGATAAATATTTCTTGAATACCTACTTTATGTCTTGTTCTGGATACTGGAGAATAAAATTCATTTCATACTTTCATGGAGTATACATTTTTATTTTGGCAGCATACAATAAACATATAAACAGAACAGAAATTTCAGGCTCCATGAGTGTTTTGAAGAAAAGGCAGAGTGGGGTGAAGGGACAGAGTGGGGTGAAGGGACAGAGTGGGAGACAGCAGAGATGGTGGTGGCCAGGAAAAGGTCTTTTGATAGACCACTTTGAGAGAGACCTGTGTGTTTGAGTGGTGGAATGAAGTATGAGAGAGTATAGGAGATCAGAGAAGGTACAAAAGGCAAGAAACAGGGTCATAGTGAGTATTTGGGGATTCTACCCCAGAGGGAACCATTGTTTTGTATGTTTCAGAGTGCCACTCCCTCCAATATTAATACTCTCTTGTTTCAGTCCAAATAGAGTAAATATTAATTTACTTAATCATAACTTTTGTCTCCCTCTTAATATAGAACATTGGCTACAAATTGATAAAATTTCATTCTATAATTTGATGCTTTCAAAATATATAATTTTCTACTCTCATTTTTGACTGCTTTGTCAAGGTTCTTTGCAGAGTTACAGAGAGAGGGAGAGACAGAGGCAGAGGTCTTCCATCTGCTGGTTTGCTACCCGAATGGCTGTAATGGCTGGGGTTGGGCCAGGCTGCAACCAAGAGCCAGGAGCTTCATCCAGGTCGCCCATGTGTGTTAAGGGGCCCAATCACTTGGGCCATCTGTAACTGCTTTCCCAGGCCTATTAGAAGTGATGTAGATGGGAAGTGGAGCAGCCAGGACTTGAACTGGCACTCCTATGGATGCCAGTATCACAAGTGATGGCTTAACCCTCTGCACCAAATGCTGGCCCCTTTGTCGAGATTCTGCATGATTTTTTTCACATGATGTTCCTGTAATTGAAAACATACATACACAATACAGTCTCCTAAAGCATTCTTCTGTTAACTGAAAAATCAGTCTGCTCGAAAATCAAAGTTGAAATTCATTTATCTATCAAATTGAGGATTTACACCTAGAAACAACCAAGCAGTTACTTAGGTTGGCTGTTCACATGCCCAAGTTTGGTTATAGATTTTACACTTTTCTTACAGGATGAATATATGATTGAATCAGGTATAAAATTTTAGATTTATGTGTGGTTATTAATCATATTGAAAATCAGAGTACCTCACTGAAAATCAAAACACCTGGTAATGGCTAACAGACTTGATTATTGATTAATGAAGTACATTATAATTCCCACACTCATGGGATGTTTCATATATGCAGGGAGAGGCAAACAACAGGGTCATTAGTCACTCTTTCTACAATGGCCCTGAGATGGAAAGATCACTCCTTTTGTGCATGGCATGGCGTTGAAGGTAAAGCCACTGTCTGTGATGCTGGCATCCCATATGGGCATTGGTTTGTGTCTTGGCTATTCCATTTCTGATCCAGATACCTGTTAATGTGCCTGTGAAAGCAGTGGAAGATGACCCAAGTACTTGGCACCTGCAACCCACGTGGAAGGCCCAGAAGAAGCCGTGGTGTTGTGGCCATCTGAAGAGTGACCCAGTGGTTGAAAGATATCTCTCTGTATCTCTGACTTTCAAATAAATAAACAAATATTTATTTTCCTTAAAAGAAAACTCACATCTTAAAAGATTTATTTATTTGAAAGGCAGAGTTACAAAGGGAGGGAGAGATAGAGAGAGAGGGGTCTTTCACCTGTAGTTCACCCCCAAATGGCCACAATGGCCAGGGCCGGGCCATGCCAACCAGGAGCTTCATCTGGGTCTCCTACATGGGTGCAGGAGTTCATTTACTTGGGCCATCTGCAGCTGCTTTCCCAGGCACATTAGCAGGGAACTGGATCAGAAGTGGAGCTGCCAGGACTCGAACCACTGCCTTTATGGGATGCCAACATTGCAGGCAGCGGCTTTACCCACTATGCCACAGTGCCAGCCTGAACACATGCTTAAGTAATGTGTAGTAAATGTTTTTGTTTCTTTAGTGAAAATTGTGGTTCACTAAAATATCATGTTACCTGGGAACCAGTTGCAGGATGACTTCACAACATGGATGGCATCTTAGCTGATGTAGGCGTCTGTGGTCATCTTTTGAATTCCCACTTCTAAGTGTAAAACTTGGTAAGATTTAAAATCTATGGCTCTCCTTTCCTTCCCGCCTTCCACAAAGAACTTTGTGATGGCCAGTGATGCTACTCTGAGTGTCATGCCTTGACTTTTGGGATATACTAAGAGTACTAGGAATGAATCATATTGCTATGAAAAACTTCCATTTCTACTGGTCTAAGATATCTCAGGATGGTTTTCTCCTCCGTTTGTCTAATGAGTGATTTGCATTTTTCCAATTTTAGGTTACCACACTTGTAAACTGTCCTCAGAATCCTTCCAACAGGAAAAAAGGACGTTCAAAAAGAGCTAGAGTCCTTCTAGCTTCTGTGGAGGAAGCAACTTGGAATTTATTAGACAAGGGAGAGAAGATTGCCCAGGAGGCTACCAATTTAAAGGAAGAGCTTAATGCTGCACTGGAGGAGGTTCGAAATGAAAGTGAGTACTCTAGTTCTGGTCAAATGCAAACTGCATATCCTTAGGGTGTTAGTTACCAAATTAGATTTGTGAGTGTTTGGGTTTTTTTGTTGGCTTGAGGTTTATTAGTCTTGCAGAGCTGTGAGGAGCTAGCTGTGGGAGGCAGAGTGGCTCATTAGACAGTTCCAAGTCTCAGTCTTACTCCCAGCTCTTCCTTTTTTTTTAATAAAAACATTGTATTTATTTATTTGAGAGGTAGAGTTACAGACAGTGAGAGGGAGAGATAGAGAGAAAGGTCTTCCTTCTGTTGGTTCACTCCCCAAATGGCCACAACGGCCGAAGATTTCTGGTGTTTCTATACTGTTCCATTGGCCTATCCATCTGTTTCTGTACCAGTACCATGCTGTTTTGATTATAACTGCCCCTGTAGTATGTCCTGAAATCTGGTATTGTGATGCCTCCAGCTTTGTTTTTGTTGTACAAGATTACTTTAGCTATTCGAGGTCTCCTGTGTCTCCATATGAATTTCAGCATCATTTTTTCCAGATCTGAGAAGAATGTCTTCGGTATTTTGATTGGTATTACATTGAATCTATAAGTTGCTTTTGGAAGAATGGACATTTTGATGATATTGATTCTTCCAATCCATGAGCATGGAAGATTTTTCCATTTTTTGGTATCGTCTTCTATTTCTTTCTTTATGATTTTGTAATTTTCATCGTAGAGATCTTTAATATCCTTGGTTAAGTTTATTCCAAGGTATTTGATTGTTTTTGTAGCTATTGTGAATGGGATTGATCTTAGAAATTCTTCCTCAGCCTTGGCATTGCCTGTGTATACAAAGGCTGTTGATTTTTATGCATTGATTTTATATCCTGCTAGTTTGCCAAACCCTTCTATAAGAGTTCCAATAGTCTCTTAGTAAGTGAGAAGGTATGGCATGTTATCTTTTGGGTCTGTGTTCCTTTGCTCCTTCACCATATGGTAGTTCATTTATTTTCAATGATGAATGAAGCATAATCTGTTTATTTCTATTACTGATGGACATTTGAATTGTTTCCAATTTTAGGTCTTGATGAGCACTGGTGCTATTGACATATTTGTGTAGTACTTTGATGTATTAACGGAGACATTCCTTTAGGGTTTATATATAGGAATGGACTTCCATAAGCTGTACATATGCTCAGCTTTAGTAGATATTACCCATTTTCCAAAATTGATTTTCTAGTTGTTACTTTCACTAGTAGCACATGAGTTATATATTTTTCTCACTTGGCATTAGTAACTAAGAGTCAATGTTTTTAATCCAAGTGTATGTAGCTGTAGTCTATTGTAGTTCTAATTTGTATTTCTTTGATAACATCTTACATGTTCTAGATATGAATATTTTTTAGTTGTAGGGATTATAACTATCTTAATCCTTTATATCCTTGATAGAAGTTCTTAATTTTAATAAATTCTAGTTTATCATTTAAATTTAAAAATTTTAAATCTAAGTACAGATTTAAAAAATTAAAAAAAATTTAAAATCTGAGTATAGACTTTTATGTTGTGTTAAGAAATATAGCACAGGGGCTGGCACTGTGGCATAACGGGTAAAGCCGCCGCCTGCAGTGCTGGCATCCCATCTGGGCGCCAGTTCCAGCTTCCCGGCTGTTCCACTTCTGATCCAGCTCTCTGCTATAGGCAGGGAAAGCGGTAAAAGATGCCCCAAGTCCTTGGGTCCCTGCACGGGTGTGGGAGACTTAGAAGAAGCTCCTGGCTCCTGGCTTTGGATAGGTGCAGCTCCGGGCCGTTGCGACCAAAATGGGAGTGAACCAGTGGATGGAAGACCTCTCTCTTTCTCTCCCTCTCCTCTCTCTGTGTAACTCTGAGTTTCAAATAAATAAATAAAACATAGTACAAAGTCAAGAAGGTATTCTCTTACATCATCATCTAGAGGCCTTATTTTACCTTTAAAATCAACCTGGAAATTAATTTTTATGAATGTTTTGAATTGAAGATTGTGATTCGTTATATGCAAGATGTATAAAAATATGTACGATGTTTTGAATCAGAAATATCATTACTATTAAAATGTTATTTAAATAGATAGACTCAATCTTATCCCAGCAGGTTTTTTTTCTAAAAGCTGGTAAGTTAATCCTGAAGTTTCTAAGGAAACACAAGGCACATAAAACAGCCATATTAAAATAATTTTTATTTCAATACTCAGTATGAGATATAGTACTTAAGACTGCGTAGTATTGGTATAAAGATAGATATATAATCAATGGACTAGAAGAGTGCCCCTAAAGTAGATCCACATATATCTGATCAATTGATTTTCAACAGATACCTGAGTAATTAAAAAAAAAGAATAGTTCTTTCAATAAATGATACTGGAACAATTAAACATCCATTTGCGTCATTGTGGTGGCGGGTCAACTGAATTTGCATAACGGAAAAAAAAAGGAACCGTAACATTTAAAATTGTTCCTACATATTTAATATCTAATGATATGTATGTGTGTATCTAAGAGTCAGAAACAGGGGAGAGAGAAAGAGGATACACATGTGCACACAGAACAAATTCCTCCTTGCTGGTTTTCTCCCCAAATGCCTGCAAAGGATAGGACTGGGCTGGGCTGAAAAGGAGACAGAACCTCAATCAGGTCATGCACATGGGTGGCAGGAATGCAATTACTTGAGTCATTACTGCAGCCTCCTAGGGTCTATATTAGCAAGAAGGTGGAGTCAGGGCTGGAGCTCCTGAGTGTTGAACCTAGGTACTCCAATGTGGAATGTAGGCATCTTAACTGCTGGCTAAATAGCCACACCTATTATGATATGTTAAATGGTACTTTAAAACATTTAACTTAAATTGAACAAAAATAAAATTAACAAAATCTTTGTACTGATCTTCAAATTCATGACAACTTTTTCTGCCCTCTCTAGTCTTTTAATTCATCCAACTGTACCTGTTGGTTCTTAAGTTCCCATTTGTTCTTTTTTTAAAAAAATAAATTTATTAAAAAATTTTCTTTATGTAAAGTGAACACATTCCATCTATTTCATATATGCAGTTTTAGGAGCATTAGTGATACTTCCTACCCTCCCTCCCTCCTCCTCTTTTTCTTATTTTTCCTTTTAAGTTTTCCAGTGACATACTTTCAGTTTATTTGAAACACACCAGTCCCCAAAAGACAAATATCCTATGTTTTCCCTGATCTGCAGTAACTAATAGTATACAAAAAGTCTAATGTATATGAGGGAAACTGACATTTCGAGGTTTGATTATTGTTTACAGCCCTTGTCTCTATTTCTGAGGAACAGAGGTCTTTTTTTTGGTTATTATTTCTTGAATTCTTTACTTAGTAGAGGGTTAAATTTACGAGTACTTTTAAGTCAATGTAGAGATGTAGAGGTGCAAAGGAAACTTGATTGAAATTTATTTTAAATGTGGTTTAGTAGACTATGAGATTCCTACAGAGGGCCAGGCTCACTGCTATTCAGGTTTTAGCTTTTGGCTTAAGCTATTAACATTTTTAGATGGAATTATAGATTTGAATTGAAACTAATAAAAGGCATTTTCTTGTGCTTTCTTTAGTGCTTTGATGAAAAGAAAAGAAATAGGAAAAATTAATAGAATATTGAATAAATCTTCCCTAGTGTTTGTTCTAATCTCAAATAAAGTATGGCTTTACTATAAGAGAAAGAAAGGAATTGATTAGCCAGTATATTACTGCATATGAATGGGGAGAGATGAAGATTATAAAAGAAAACATATGTAGACTCTTTTCCTATGCCCTTTCCCTATTCAGTGGTGAACACTTTTTGAGTATTTACTGTTTGTTTATTTTGGCTAAATATTTGGTATGTGTATTTGGTACTATAATGGTCCCTGGGAATATAAAAATAAAAAAGATCAAAGATCTACCCTAGATACTCAGAGTCTACTGGGGGAAATAGGTAAAGAGCTGTAAGTGTCCGACAAACAGCATTAAAGTGGAATACTCAAAGAGCTGAGAAAGAACATTTAAAGGAAAAATAAAGTAATGTGTTTTTTTTGAAGATTTTATTTTATTTATTTTAGAGAGTTACAGACAGAGAGAGGCAGAGACAGAGAAAGGTCTTTCATTCGCTGGTTCACTCCCCAGATGGCCACAAAGGCTGGAGCTGGGCTGATCTGAAGCCAGGAGCTTGTTCTGAGTCTCCCATGCAGGTGCAGAGGCCCAAGCACTTGGGCCATCTTCTATTGCTTTACCAGGCCATAGCAGAGAGCTGGATCTGAAGAGGAGCAACCAGGACTAGAACTGGTGCGGATGCTGGTGCCTCAGGCGGAGGCTTAGCCCACTATGCCACAGTGCCAGCCCCTAAATAGTGTGTTTCTTAAGTTCTTTTATTTCCTTTGTTAAGTGGGGGGAGAAGATGAATCTCTCCCATATGAGTACAGATAAATATGTATATAGTTGCTAGAAATAAGTGGTAAGTGCTTAGTCTGTCTTTTCCTGGACACTTAAGTTTGTGTTTTTATTTTATTTTTTTCTCAAAGAAACCTTTTGTTTAAGGAATACAAACTTCATGTATTTGAGAAGTAGAATTATAGGAACATAGTGATTTTTTCCACTGTACCTGCCTTCCCACCCCTCTTGCTCCTTTCTCTCCTATTCCTAGAATATTCCTAAAATATTCCTTATTTTTTACTAAGATCTATTTTCAATTAGCTTTAAACACAGAAGATTGACTCTATACTAAGTAAAGAGCTCAACAAATTATATGAAAAAAAAAACTGTTCAACTGTTGAGACAAGGGCTGTTCAAAGTCATTGCATCTTTAAATTGATTTCACTTCTTTTTTTAAGCATTTCTTTTTTTTTGAGGTTTTAATTAACTTTAAAGAAGAAAACAGGAATGATGCATCTTTTACGAGCACTTAGACATAACTATAACTTATGAGACATAAGAATATCCCCCACTTAATACACTAAAACGAAGTAAATCTTTGAGAACAAGTTTTACTATAAACTCTTATAATGCAAT